ATTACTATACCAGACTTTAAACTGTATTACAGGGCTATAGTCATAAAAACAACATGTTACTGGCACAACAATAGACCCATAGATCAATGGAACAAAACTGAAGAACCAAATATGCATACATGCAATTTCAGCCACCTGATATTTGATAAAGGTGTCACTGGAGGAAAGACAGCATGTTCAGCAAATGGTCCTGGCAAAACTGGATCTCCATCTGTAGAAGAATGAAACTAAATCCCTATCTTTCACCCTGCACAAAAGTCAATTCCAGATGGCTCAAAGACCTCAATGTGAAGCCTGAAACTCTGAAAGTGTTAGAAGAAAACATTCACAAAAACCTAAAAGATAGAGGTGTGGGAAAGGATTTTCTAAACCAGACATCAAAATGCTCAGGAAACAACGGCAAGAATCAACAAATGGGACCTCATTAAACTATAGTGCTTCTGTACATCAAAGGAGGAAACCAGGGAAGTGAAGAGAAAACCCACAGAATGGGAGAAAACCTTCACCAGTGACACATCTGACAGAGGTTTAATATCCAGAAGATATAACGAACTCAGAAAACAGAGAATCAAGACAAGAAGTAACCCAATTAAAAGATGGGCTAAGGAGCTGAACAGAGAGTTCTCAAAAGAAGAAGTAAAGATGGGTATGAAGCATCTTAAAAGATGTTCAACATCACTAATAATTAGGGAAATTCTAATTAAAACCACTTTAAGATTTCATCTTACCCCAGTCAGTCTGGCTAAGATCAATAGAACAAATGATACCAAATGTTGGTGAGGATGTGGGGAAGGGAACACTCATTCACTGCTGGTGGGGCTGCAAACTTGTTCAACTGCTTGAACTCCTTGTTCAAGCAGTGTGGAGACCTCTTAAAAACTACAAGTGAACCTACCATTTGATCCAGTTATACCAATCCTTGGCATATACCCAAAGAACTCATCCTATTGCAGAGACACTTGTACATCCATGTTTGTTGCTGCTCTTTTCACAATAGGTAAGAGATGGAAACAACTTAAGTA